AGGCTCAAATGTTAAAATGTATTTGATTGTTTTGCCTATAGGTGGATAGAAGATATAAGCAATATTACCAGCAGATGCAGATAGTTGTATCCTCCTTCGATGTGATAGCAGGTTATGGAGCGGCTAAGCCATATACGGCACTCGCTCTTCAAACTATTTCACGTCATTTCCGTAGCCTAAGAGATGCGATATCTAGACAAATCCTCGTGACACGAAAATGCCTCGGGGAACAAGATGGATCAGATGGGAAAGGAGCTGGGATACTAAGCCGGCTTAAGTACGTTGATCAACATTTAAGACAAAAAAGAGGTTTTATGCAACCTCAGGCTTGGAGGCCTCAACGCGGTCTACCTGAAAACTCTGTTTTGATTCTCCGTGGTTGGCTCTTCGAGCATTTTCTTCACCCGTAAGTCTCTTCTGAATCTTTTTTCCATTCATATATTCTTCCTAACAAATGCTGATAACTGTTTGAAAATATGAATAGTTATCCAAAAGATTCTGATAAGATTATGCTTGCAAGACAAACAGGCTTAAGTCGCGGTCAGGTACCAAATGCTTTATTTGAAGATTGTTTCTTTCTCTTTATTTTTCGTTATTTGTTGATTGATTATTGTTGTGTGTTTAATTTTTGTAAAAGGTTTCAAACTGGTTCATAAATGCTCGTGTGCGGCTATGGAAGCCAATGGTGGAAGAGATATACAAGGAGGAATTCACAGAGAATGATTCCAACTCGTCTTCCGAAAATACACCAAAAATATGTGACATAGGACCTGCTGCTAATGAAGATGATCGAGCTCAAGATTTTTCACAGGATCTAACCAAACAGGACCATGGAAAAGGATATGGAGTGGACACTTGTGACATGGTCCAGGGTGGTCAAGTGTATGGGGGGCGGTTCATGGCGGTTGAACCAACATATCATGTGGCTGAGATGTCAAGATTTGGTGGTGGTAGTGTGTCTTTAACTCTAGGGCTTCACAACTCTCAAGGACATGATAATGTTGTGGCTATGTCTAGTGAGCCGTATAACAATTTTTNCGGGATGGATATTTACGAAAATGCCGTCCCGGGAGCTGAGCTGGAGTATGTAAACCCCCGGAGTCGCCAGAACCGGATGAGTTCTTCACAATTGGTACATGATTTTGTAGCTTGAAGAAGAAAGCAACGGAGAGGAATAAAGCGTCAATTCTCTAGTGGAAGGAAGTTGGTCAGAAGAAAAAGTTTTTGAAATATTTGTATAAAGAAAACATTCTTTTGTGTAAGAAAATATAAGTGAGGTTAGGTCATTGGGGACCAATTACACAATATGGGAAATGGAATCTGAGTTTTGCAAGAATTGAACAATTTTCTGGTTTCCTGTAATAAAGCGCATGGCATGAGGTTTATGTTGATTTAGAGGTAGACACTAAGAGAATATTAAAAAAAAATCACATTTATACGACCTAATTTTTATCTTCGATAGGCATACATATACAAGCTTTATCGGTGTCAAAACAAAATAAAAATAAAAATACAAGCTTTATCGGTGTCAAAATTAATATTCGAACATAAAAAACGATTTTAAGTATATTGACATAAGAAACTATTATACACACATGTCTTATTATATAAAGTTGGATGCGTTCGATGAGAGCGCGATACGTAAGCAAAATTG